AGTCCGCAGTCCGTAGTCCGTAGTCAGCAGTCCACTGTTCGCAGTCCGCATTCCGAAGTCCGCAGTCCACAGTACCCTTACACTGACTGATTTAGTACCTAGTCTCTAACTCGGTCAGCAAGGCGGTAAGATTTTCGATCGGAAGGTACGAGAAGAAGCGTGAATTTTTTGACCTTTTTGCTGCGAAGTTTGAAAGCGGAGCGATGCGATTTTCTGGGGGAATTCGCTCCGGCGCTGGACCCTTTCAAAATATGGATTTCGCCCTTGTTATTCTATTTTTAGGAACAGTAAACCGTCAACGGCGAACTCAAAATCCTTCAAAATCGCTCAAAAAACCGCTTTTGAGGCAAAAGGACGACTATATACCACAGGTAAGGTAATCCAACGTTTATTTAACATTGATTTATATACATACTTAGCGATATATGGCTATGGGTTAGGCAAACGGTAAATCCAGTACGCTTACTATAAAATGACGTCGGTTACACACACACACATTGTGTGGGTGCCCTGTGGTTTTTTGCACCTCAAATAAGAGTTCCAATATCAAGAAAATCAGTTTTTTAAAACCAGTGTGGATTTTGTCCCCTAATTGAGAACTTTTTCTGAAAAACATAAAGTTTCATGTGAAGATTCAACTTCCTACTGATTTCAAAATGACTGAAGGTAAGTTAAGTGTTCAGACTGTAGTTTGCTCTTTTAGAAGAGGGGGGTGGGGGTCGCTGCCACAGGAGCTTTGATTATTATTATATTTCTGAGAGATATGAGAAAAAAAAGTCCCGTGGAGGTTGGGGGGGAAGGGGAGGGGACAAAAATACTTTTTCTGAGAGAGAACTGTGTTGGTAATCTTGATCTTTAAAAATTTAACTCACCTTGCCTAAAGATAGTGGGGGTGTGGCTATTAAATGTAATGACTCTTGGACTGAGTAGTTGTGTCTGGTATCAAAGACATTCATTGCCTTGAAATTCGTTGCGATCATATTTTTTGAATTTGACATGCTGGTTTAAACTGGTTTGAGTTCATTTTTTTTAGTTAAGCACGGATGAAGTGCTGAAGCAATATGATCCATTGGGCAATTCCAGAAAATATCCATACCATACGATGGATGCCTTTTTGGAATTCTGAGGGCAAGGGGCATTCTTTGAACTGGAAATCAAAAGGCTTTGGAGGGGGAGGGGGGGGGGGGAATAGTGAATAGTTATGATTGGAATTCCGAAGGCATGGAGGGGTTTTTAGATCTTAAAAGATCTGGAATTTCAACAGGGGACAGACAAGAGTGTATTCCTTGAAAACGCTTATTTCATGGACTTCATCAGTTCGCAAATAAAGCATGAACTGATGACACTGCTGATTACCAAGGAAGCAAGATATGACAAGGATCAATCAATCAGGCATGTGTTTGTGTCCATTTGCGGAAGAAAACCAACAAAATGTAGGGCTGTACATCGAGCTCCAGAGGCCATAATGCTACAAAACATCCTTTTTTTTCTCTCATGAAAACAGCCATGGCCCATAAATTATTTGTCCATAATGCAAAACATGTTTTTTTTTAACTGAGGACGTCATTTTAAATTTTGAATCTCGTGGGATTGGAAGTGACTGCTGACCCTGAATGCTCAAATTAATGATTACGAAACTCTGTGGGCTTGGGGGATAACCCATTTTGGAACTTCTGAAGGCAAGGGGGGTTAAAATATGGAAGCAATCCATGGTTTGGTATGGATATTTTCTGGAATCGCCCATTGGGAAAGGGTTACTCAGTGAAGTGTCTTTATTATATAGATGGTTTCTCTAGAGAAAACATTCACTTTCACCCCTATAAAGGTGGGAAAGACTCTGGCAATGATAAATAAAGCATAAAAATATATACTACTTATTAACCGAGAGTGAGGTCATTACAGAAAAATCTCAGACCAAGGTCTTGATATTGCGCGGTCATTACATCAAGGACTCTCTTCACCACCACCGCCACTAACCATTTCTATTGTTTTCCCTCCTCCCAAAGGAACTATTTTTCTTTTAAAGGTACGGTCTTATTGTTGCACCTTTACCGTAATGGAAGCCCCTTTCCTCGGTTTTTTTTTTCACGTTATATGAAGCCAAGATCACCGCTGACATACATTGCCCCGATGACTTACATGCCATGCTGTCAAGTATGTCGATCTTGAGGCAGGAACCGTTTCCACTGAGAGGACCACGTGGGGAAATTTTCAAATGCTGAGTTGAAACAGGCGGTTGAATTGTTATCGTCAGATTATTAGCATAAGCTGGAGACGTCCATGGAATATCAGCCTGAAAATGAATAAAGTATTTTCGATTCCTTTCAAAATAGTTACTCCGTACATGGATTGCAGGATTTAAAAACATTTTTTTCTTGGTTAATTACAGTCGAGTCTGTCAAATAAACGGTGAACGATGAGAAATTCAAATACTGGACAAGATCAGTTTTTCGGATCTATTCTACAGAAAGCTAGTTGACATTCAAATTCCAGTTCTTAGTCTATATTGTATCGTTGAATTTTATTGGGTTGGATTGTCACTCTATTGCGAGTCAATGGAAGTTTCTTCTCTTCTACCAATTGAGACCAGCTTAACAGAGTGGCCCAGCCTAAACTGGGAGAACAAAGGTTGGCGCGGTGGTGAGAGCATTCGCCTCCCACCAATGAATGTGTCCCAGGTTCAAATTTCCGGCATGGAGACCATATATAGGTTGACTGTGCTGCTGGTTCTCTCTCTTGCTCCTAGAGGTTCCTCTCCGGGTGCTCCGGTTTTCCCTTTCCTCAAAATCCATTTTTTCCAACTTCCAATTCGACCAGGAATCAGGTAGACGAAGAACCACTCAGTGGATGTGCCACCTCTAAATCGTTATTTATTTATTTGCCTAATCAATTATTTACATCCTCTTACCACACAGCCCACTGTGGTTTTTAATATCTTCTGAACACCGGAAACACCATCTACAGTAGAACCAAAGCAGATGTTGTCGGCAAAATCTCTGGAGCCGTTTTTGCCTTGCACAGTTACTTCAGTTAGAAAGGTTTTTCTTCCTGCGGGTTACAAGCAAGGCAATTTAAAAGCGGTCAGCTACAAATGCTTTGCTCGTAAACTTACATATTTCCTCATAAGCATATGGGATAAAACATTAATATTTATGGTTCGTCTGTAATTTGTGACTAAATGGATAAAGTTCAGAACATTATTCAAAACTTCAGAGCCACACGAAGGATGTGATGGCTTTTATCTCTGAAAGAAAAGTATAGCACTGCCGCCAAATCCCCGAATCTGCCGAGCGATCGTGAAGTCCCACATCAACAAAAGTAGGCGGCAAAATAACTGACATCTTCGATTCTGCATCTTCCATCTCCTTTTCAATAGTGTACGAATAGGTGACGAAAGCTCCAGGGACTTTCCTTTGAAATTGCGGGCGTTTCAGAGAGAAGCTGAACGGACTCAAATTAAGTCTAGTCTCTTACCGAAGTTAATCTCGAGTGTTCGGTTTTGATCCGAGGTACTTGGACACCACGAAAAGCCCCCTCCTACCAGAGGAATGCCCCAGGATTCATTGTAAGATGAACCCTTGATCGTTGAGTTCGACAGATGAATAGCACTTCGGTGCAAGTCTAACAGCTTGCCACACTTAGCTGTTTGAAGAACACAAAACGGATTCAGTGGTGAATATATCTATAGTACAGTCACGTTCTCAAACCAAGATTGCATAAATGATAACATTCAGCGCAGCTATCCAGGTGCAAGCTAACGCTAAACCTATCTTCATTAAGGATTAAAGATATTTTCATAAAGTGGGTTTCAATCTGCCCTTGGCTTATAAGTTTTAAATGTATAATTAACAATTATTCCTCAAGCCCGAATGGGCTCTGAATGAATAGCCCATGAGGCCGAAGGCCGAATTGGCTATCGACTCAGAGGCCATGAGGGCGAGAGGAATAATTGTTTTAGTAAAATCCAACTAGTTGGTCATAAATATCGAGAATAAAAAAATTGTAGCTAGTTAAAGCTAGACTTTAATCCTCTTTTGCCGCCAAAAAGCCCGCGCCTTTCGCTACTAGTGGGCTATAACATATAGCCTAATAGTAGCTCAACCAATCAGAACGCAGCACTGATAATAGACCACTAGTTGGGTTTTACTAAAGGCATATATCTGATATCTCGAGACTATGAACAGTTAAATTCAATTCATATGATTTGCTGTTCATGATTTATACCAGGAAAAGCCCAAAAGTACAGCAGCAGAAACAGTCACCAAAGACTGAAAAAAGTCTTGGTAAAACGAATAGCTTTAGTACTTACATGTGCTCTATGCAAAAGCGTGTCCAAATGTACAATCTGCTCTCCGACGCAACTTACAACGTATTAGCTTATTCAAGTCATTTTGGATGTCCGTGAAAAAAGGGAATAAGATTCACCTTCAATATTTACAATTTACCACCATAATGTAATGTCAATAGGACCCACCTCCAAGAAGGTAGACCTCGCTTACAAGGGGGCCACCCTTTCCACCTGCAGGACAGCTGGTGGCATTGTAAACGCTGTAGTTGAAATGGGCATATGGACCAGAGTAGCAAGCTCCTCCATCAAAAACAGCGAAAGCTTTGTAGTCCATCTTTGCTGACTCTAAAGCACACTTCAATACAGCGTTTTTTCTCGTATTGAATGGGCCATCTAGGTAAGTTGCATTGACTGTCTCAAGCGACGAGAAAGTGCTTGTATCGTTGATGTCAATGAAACATGCCAGACTTAGGAAATCGACAGATTTGCCTGTTATGATTATGAATTAAAAGCATACCAATATATTAGTTTTTTATTGCATTTAGGAATAAGAACTCATTGTATCCTTCTTGAGCTAGACCAGTAAACAGATTATTCAAGAGAGAGGGAGAAAGAAAAGGACAACAGCTCACTTTGGAATTAACAAATAATCACATAATCAACAGCACCAAAGTTACATTCTGTGAGGTACTACGATCTTCAATAGAGTACGATTTTGAAGCGTCCCTCTTATGTAACTGTCACTTACCATTCTGCAGTGAGGAAAATAGACCCCTTGGTATCAACTTTGAGATTCGATGTTTATCTTATTATCTTAACTTAGCACAGATCAGTTAAATGGCAGAATTGGTGCCTCAAGTAGCAGGTAAACAGCCAAACGTAACGTGAGAAGAGGTCAGGCTATATCTTTTTTATTATTTTGCAGGACGGGTAAACTGGAACAGTTGGCTGTAAAAATAGTTCCTTATTTTGCAACATAAGCGTTAAGAATCCTAATATAAATTTGCTGTTTCAAATGTTCTAATATATCACTTACTCATTTCACAATTCACGCCATGGAATTCCGGAGAACATTTGCATTTGTAGCCATCCTTGGAACTTATACNGCTGTAGTTGAAATGGGCATATGGACCAGAGTAGCAAGCTCCTCCATCAAAAACAGCGAAAGCTTTGTAGTCCATCTTTGCTGACTCTAAAGCACACTTCAATACAGCGTTTTTTCTCGTATTGAATGGGCCATCTAGGTAAGTTGCATTGACTGTCTCAAGCGACGAGAAAGTGCTTGTATCGTTGATGTCAATGAAACATGCCAGACTTAGGAAATCGACAGATTTGCCTGTTATGATTATGAATTAAAAGCATACCAATATATTAGTTTTTTATTGCATTTAGGAATAAGAACTCATTGTATCCTTCTTGAGCTAGACCAGTAAACAGATTATTCAAGAGAGAGGGAGAAAGAAAAGGACAACAGCTCACTTTGGAATTAACAAATAATCACATAATCAACAGCACCAAAGTTACATTCTGTGAGGTACTACGATCTTCAATAGAGTACGATTTTGAAGCGTCCCTCTTATGTAACTGTCACTTACCATTCTGCAGTGAGGAAAATAGACCCCTTGGTATCAACTTTGAGATTCGATGTTTATCTTATTATCTTAACTTAGCACAGATCAGTTAAATGGCAGAATTGGTGCCTCAAGTAGCAGGTAAACAGCCAAACGTAACGTGAGAAGAGGTCAGGCTATATCTTTTTTATTATTTTGCAGGACGGGTAAACTGGAACAGTTGGCTGTAAAAATAGTTCCTTATTTTGCAACATAAGCGTTAAGAATCCTAATATAAATTTGCTGTTTCAAATGTTCTAATATATCACTTACTCATTTCACAATTCACGCCATGGAATTCCGGAGAACATTTGCATTTGTAGCCATCCTTGGAACTTATACACGTACCATTGTTATGACATGGGTAGCTTACGCACCTGTCAACCACTTACAACGAAATTTTGAGTACAAATAAACGAAATTATGATTAAAAAGGAATTGAAGGACATACACAAAATTAAGGTCTGCATTTGATGGTAAGCGTGAGCACACCCTAGCACAGACCGACTATGTCTCGGTTCAGTGTTCTGGAAACAGATAGGCATGTTGTTTTAATTCATGCACACCTTTATTACGGGGTCTCAAAAAAGACATTCAGGGGCCACTTTGGGATGGCGGCCAGTCCTGACAGATACCTACGTAAGGAAAACCATTAGCACATAGCAAGGCCATGGCTATGGCTTTCCTTGTTTTTTTTTTTTTTGTATCAAAGATAAAAAGGGATTGTTAAAGAAAGCTGGTTCACTTTTTTGTAGACTGACTAATATGCTCCTATTTTCGTGTAACGTGAATTAAACTAGAACCATCTGAAACATTTATCACCGATCCATTCATTCACTTTCGTAGCACTGTAAGTTTGTACATGCACATATCCGCTCGTCCCTTTGAGCTGAACAAAGCAATCGTCCCCGGATCAGGGAAATCCTAGCAAGAAAATAATTTTCTACCTACTAGTAAACACCGACATGCTGAAGTTCGTCGCCGGCCTCTTGGTACTATTTGTTTGTATGATTGCTTCATTTATCGCTCAAATTTCGTTCTCCGAAAATTTCTCGAAACGAGACGCCATCTTGGCTTCCGTCGCCGGCAAAATAGCGAATAACCAAGGGTATTCCGAGTTACGGTAGCCAATCAAAACGCGCGAAAATTGCTGCTCACTAATAAGGTAAATACTAAGCTAAATAACCTGACATATATGCTTACCTTGACAAATTGTTCGAGCTATTGCCATCGACTTAGTAAAAAGACTATTCGTGCCATTACACTCAACAAAGTAATCGCTATCTGGATCCGAAGCTATCTCCCTCATTTGGCCTGGGGAGATTTCATCTCCGATACCCACAGCAATAAGAGTAGCGTTCCATTTTTTAAAGCTGATGGCAGAAACAGCAATGTCGTCATCAGACTTGTGACTTGCAATGACAAGCACAACGACTGGAACATCTCTTCGTGTTTCGTTGTCAGATAAGTGATACCTAACTGAGTCCAAAGCTTTTCCCAAAACTACTTGACTAGTGTTTGGAAAATACAAGCCTAAGAAGTTGTTAAGCTCTGTCCTCGTTTTATAAACGTACGTTCCGTTTCCTTCTACGGCAGTAATGAACCATGTCTTATTGATGTCTATATCAAAATTCCTGGAAATATTGGTGATGAAATCGCCAACCAATCTGAATCGAGCTTCACCCATTTTGTAGGAGCCATCCACAGCAAATACCACAGTCAAGTTTGCTGAGCACACAGCTAAAAAATACATAGATATGCATTAACTTATCATTTCAAAGTGGAAGTACTGAAGACATGAAAGTGTTAAAATTAATTGGTCACCGTTTTGACGAGTGGATGTAACATTGCGTGCACCAAAAGGCTCTTATGACTTGCAAGATAGACAGAGGTTGGAAAAGAAACCTCAAAAGTAATTAACGAGTGATTTTTCTTGAGACATTGTTCATTGTCTGTTTTAAAAACCATTTTTTTCCACCGCTTTAGAATTGGTTAATTATTATTATCTAAAATAACAAAGTAATGACCCAATTACCGTTCTTTTTTTGCGCGCCAGGAATCTGTACGTTGCTATGTATCAATAAACAACTTATAGTAGTCAAGTATTAATTGTAACACTACGTTTTTTAACCTGAAAATAAAAGATAACAAATAGCATGATATTTGACATTGTAAGACGAATCAAATGAAATTTGTATACAGTATTGGCAGTAGACCAGAAACAAAAGTTATTCGAAGCCAGTGTTAATCAAGGTTATTGACTTCATTTTACTACAAATTTAGACTGAACAACCCACCGAGTAGTTATTAAAAGTTGAGATGCCTGCTTTTCCTTACAAGATTCATACTTGTCGTGCCGCAAGGATTTCCCCTCTAAAGCGCTTCAGTCTCTCCAATTTCTATTGTTAATCCCAATCTTCGCTAAATTTGACATTGTTGTAATATGAAGATTTAGTTAAAGCTAAAGCGAAGCTCCCGTTTACGCATTCTACATTTACTCCAGACAATGGACTTTAAACTTTTGCAAACAAATCTTCAAATCTACACTTATCTTATCTTTAGGATACCCTTTTTTGACAGCTGTCAATTGACCATTATATGGATGTCTGTTATCAGGTTAAACACAGGTTACAGGCTTCAACACTAGCTAGAAAGATTGACATTTCGCATTGTTTTCCCTGTGGTGCGGACGGACGGGCCTACGGTAACGTAATTACCAAAATTTCTCGGATGGATAGACTACCAAATTTTCTTAGATATGGGCCGGGCTCCGCTAAAAATGGGTTTAAGGCAACCTTTTGTATGTCTTTGGAAAATATGGTCTAAAGAACAAAAGTTTGGTATTTACTGGTAACGTCGTTTAAAGAACGTTTCAATATAAGAAGCCAGGAAAGAAAATAATAACAAATATGTCGGTGATCGAGTTTTGATTCAGATTTATTTATCTTTTTTGTTTCAAAGTTAAATATTTTCGGATTTACTTTTTACTCCGACTTGTTATTTCTAGAGACGTCTGGTTATTGTTAGCTCTCACTTTGGTCTTCTTTTAGAGTTAGTGATACTCCATGGCGCAGTGTCCTATATCAAGTTAATGAACGGATGATGCCGACGTCATACACTCCGGCATAACTTAGGTTTAACTGTCTGTGTCAATTTGCTTATTATTCTGATCTTATTTTTTCATTTATTCCTTTACGTATTTTTAAAGGGTGGGGACCCAAAAGATTTTCTTTTTCTCCTGCGACGTTTGAACGCATTGTCAATGAGAATAGCTGTGATGTTTTAAAAGTTTAAAAACCTCTGTTAAGCAATTGTTGTTACAGTTGACAAAACAACAATGTGCTATTATATGGCCCTATCTAGGCCTATATCAGTCCACATACCATATGCGGTTACCTTTCAGAAATGATGTATCTACACTTTCCTTTCAATACGCCTAAACAAGTGATTTTCATTTGTTTGATTTATTATAAATCACATGCGAATGGGATTTTTTTCCGTTGTTTTAATTTGCTTTTGGTTTGTTTTGTTTTTTGGCTTTTTTCCTCCTAAGGCTTTGAGAGAGAAGTTGATGATGTTGAACGATATAGGGCCTAGTAAGGATTACATATTTTAGCCGCCGCTCATTCAGACGAACATCACCGTTACAGCCATGAATATATAAATGCTCTTTTTTGATTCATTTAATTAAAACATTTTAAAATTACGTATAATTTGAGACGATGTTTTGGAAACTTCTGTGATTTCTCCTGCTTGTTTGGCTGAAAGTAACTTCCATCTAACTATATAATAAATAATTCTTAGTGCACGTGTTTCTTTCAGTTATAAGTACACTTATATGATACCATTTGTAATGTTATTCTTGGTAGATGTAACAGAATCTGATGGTTTGTTTGTAGAAATTATTCGGCATTGTAATCACTATAAATGTTTAAATGAAAGCAACAATTGCATTAAAAAGAAATGTATACACTGTAAATTGTATTCTGGAAACAAAAATGATTATTCCTACCTTCACTCCGAATAGAACTGCCCCAAGAAAGTATCAACAAAGTGACAATTAATATAAATGTTGGCCATCTTGCGTTCATTACCCCCGCCATAGCTGCAAGGTGGACTGTCTTTGACAGACCAGAAAAGAGTCAATCTTACCGCTGTTGTGTATACATGGATTACGCTTGCAAAATCTGTTACGCTCGGTCAGTCAAATTGACAGTATTATTAATTGCGTCAAAATACCCTAGTTACCTTCTAGGACAGAACTGAAATAGAAACAAACAACAATGAAAGGGTATGTGAGGCAAAGAAGTAGTTTAATTAATACGCCAGTGCCCACAATTACATACCCAAAGTCCCCCTTTTCGATCTGCCTTAGGGAAGGTTATGAATTTTGTGATTGCAAGAACCAGGCCGGAGGTTGGTAGATTACTGACAAGCGCAGACGGAATGAAATTCTGTAAAATTATCAGTCTTGGGGTTAAAACTGCATATTTCTGCCTTTAAAGAGAGATTGTATTTTTAATTATTGCTGAAAATGCAGAAGTCTACCAGGTCTACCAGACGAATATTCTTATTCCATCAAAGATTCCTTATTTGAAATTATGTATTTCTTAATAATATATCTATTTTTTCAAAAAGTGGGGGCCCTCGAGCCTATCCCCCTGCGCGGGCCCTGCTTATAGAGGTGTCCGTTATTAGAGAGAGTTGATCGCTGTATCTCTTGTTCCATGTGTCGTACTAAAATATGCTATCGGTTCGTGTTAAACTAGTGTAAATCTGTGAACAGTTTCGATACACGGCAAGAATATATGAGGTGTAGAAGGGAATTTAACAATGGAAAAAATAATCAAAGAAGAAATAAAACTGAATTTGCTTGTGATTGAATCTGTCAAAGAGGACAGGGCTTCNATGTGTCGTACTAAAATATGCTATCGGTTCGTGTTAAACTAGTGTAAATCTGTGAACAGTTTCGATACACGGCAAGAATATATGAGGTGTAGAAGGGAATTTAACAATGGAAAAAATAATCAAAGAAGAAATAAAACTGAATTTGCTTGTGATTGAATCTGTCAAAGAGGACAGGGCTTCATTTAATGCTCTCAAATGTTACTAGTCATTGTAAAAAAAGCGCGAAATGAGTCCTTCTTCAAAGTAATTGGCCAAGACCTAATTTAGTACCCGTCAGTGTTAGATGTGGATTGCGGACTACAGACTACGGACCAGGGGTAAAATGCAGACTGGGTGTAAAATACAGACTGCAGACTAAAGGTAAAACGCAGGCTGGGGGTACAATGCAGAAAGAACCACATTAGGGGGGAAATAAGAGAAATGTCAAGCAGAAAACAATGTGGAAGACGATTTTTTTCCCGGAACCCAGAGACTTCGTTATCCACGTTACCCCCGTCCAGCGGAACGCGGAAGGAGATTGACGAGACCTGACGAGGAAGACATGTGAGACGCATGCCATGTGTAAACCATTTATTCTACCAACTCGGCCGATTTTGGGCATTCGGCGTGGAAGATACAAACACGGAGGATGACGAGTGGCAGGTATATTTGAAGTGAACCTTGCATTCTATTGATTTAATATTGTACATATCTACACTGTGTACGGTCACTACTGTTGTTCAGTGAGGTGCACATTTGCCAGAAGTTTCAATGGACATCCGAACAGCTGAAGTCTGCGTTCCTTGATTTGCAATACTTGCAATGGAAGGTCATCCAAATTTCCTGCAGAACATCTTTTTTTGTTGTTGAAATGACTAACGCCCTTTTTATCGTCATTATTTCTTCTGTACAGTTTTTTTGGTTAGCGGCTTTTATTTAAGCGTAAATATCGTCGTGTTGTAGCAATTCAATTTGAAGCGTGAGGTCTCCCGGTCGGATAAAGAGTACAAGATTGCAATTATTTTTCGAAGACGTTCCGAAGACCTTCTACTATCTGAACGCCCGGAACAGGATACAGAGAAGAAAGGAATGGATTTGTGAAAGCAGATGTCAAGTAAGTGATCGTTTATATTTTTTTACAGAATATTTTGACTTAAACCCGTAACCTTTCGTGACTACAGTTTATGCTTAAGCTTGGTCTGCATTTTTCACCAGGCCTGCGTTTTACTTTCAGTCTGCAGTCTGCGTTTTACACTCATTCTGCATTTACCCCTGGTCCGCAGTCCGCAGTCCGTAGTCCGTAGTCAGCAGTCCACTGTTCGCAGTCCGCATTCCGAAGTCCGCAGTCCACAGTACCCTTACACTGACTGATTTAGTACCTAGTCTCTAACTCGGTCAGCAAGGCGGTAAGATTTTCGATCGGAAGGTACGAGAAGAAGCGTGAATTTTTTGACCTTTTTGCTGCGAAGTTTGAAAGCGGAGCGATGCGATTTTCTGGGGGAATTCGCTCCGGCGCTGGACCCTTTCAAAATATGGATTTCGCCCTTGTTATTCTATTTTTAGGAACAGTAAACCGTCAACGGCGAACTCAAAATCCTTCAAAATCGCTCAAAAAACCGCTTTTGAGGCAAAAGGACGACTATATACCACAGGTAAGGTAATCCAACGTTTATTTAACATTGATTTATATACATACTTAGCGATATATGGCTATGGGTTAGGCAAACGGTAAATCCAGTACGCTTACTATAAAATGACGTCGGTTACACACACACACATTGTGTGGGTGCCCTGTGGTTTTTTGCACCTCAAATAAGAGTTCCAATATCAAGAAAATCAGTTTTTTAAAACCAGTGTGGATTTTGT